GAACTGATTTCTCGCTCCCTAGGCCACCGATCGAAGCCAGACCAGTCAGGGCGTGCTCTCTGTTCCTTGCTCTCTGCCGGAGTAGATTTGCTCGGCAGCGCGTACTCTCGATCGACGGAGAGAAGCATGCGCGTGGTGCCCGTTGCTTGTTTGAACTGTGATTTCTTTCTGGTCTGCTTCACTTGAGAATAGCCTGATGTGTTGAAGGCCTGGAAACAATTTTCAACAGACAGCTTGTGTACACACAGACGACGATTTCGAATGATTGGATCAACGAGCTGCTGAGCAAATCTACTCCGGCAGAGAGCAAGGAACAGAGAGCACGCCCTGACCGGTCTGGCTTCGATCGGTGGCCTAGGGAGCGAGAAATCAGTTGCGGTGTCCTCCCCTCTCTGACAAAAAGCGGCTCTTTTGCTGTCTCGTGGCGGTTTGGCCTGTTTCGGCGTCTCCGTGCTTGGTGTGATGCGATATGTTTTTTTTGCCCACGCGTGCCGAGCGACCATCAACAGCCAGCGTGCAGAATAGCAAGCCCTTCAGCGTAGGGTTGCTGGGAGCCCTTGATAGGAGCGATACGTCAAGAACTCAGGTCGCACTCGCCGATTATGTCGTCTGGGTTAACCCAGCGGTGAACTTGTTGGGATAAGAAATCTCGTTGAACTTTTTGGGATAGGAAATCTGGGTGGGCACCATCCTGATTTCTTCCAAACTTTTCGGGTGGGGGCCACCCGAAAAGCTGAACCGGGATTTTGTCGACCCAAAAAACTGAAGGAGCTGGCTGTATAAGAAGCCGGATTTCTGCCCATCCTGAAAAGTGAAGCTTTTTGGGAAAGTAATCCAGGTGTATAAGAATCAGCCTTAACGAGGTTCGAAAGTCGGAAAATATGAAATTGATTGTCGAAGACAAAGAAAATATTTTCCTAGACGTTCTATTTAATTTACTAACTTCGAAAAGAACGGTGCGAGAAACATCCGCACGAAGTTTTGGTACAAAGCCACGACATCAAATTTCAAAGCGATACGGCACTCTCATGTCCCTCGAGAATTTTAATCTCTCCACCCCCGGGTTCACGCTTCTCTAGGAAGAGTCGACAGATTTTAACAGAGGGAAAAATAGATATGACAGGATAACAAGGGGCGAGTTGGCCTGTACGCAGCACACAATGCCAACGCAGGACACTTTGACGTGGGGAGGGCACACGCCACCTTGAGCAGACACGCCCATGTAGCGGCTAACTGGCACCGCGAAATGGCAGGGAGGGGTCGCTCTACGCGTGACAGAGCGCATTGTCGGCCGTCAAAGTGCGGGGATGTCGATTACCCTCATACACGTGGCATATGTATGTGGCTCATGTACCATATGAGTCGCGTTCCGCAGAACCGTGTTATTTGACATTGGACGCGTTCTGAACGAGCGTTGGTTCTCAGGGACACCAGGAACTCGGTTAATACTCTTTCCTTTTATTTTTCCCGGCCAACATACCCAATCTTGATTTTTGATTTTTTGTCACGTGATTTTTCGAACGTCGTTGATGCGCGGCGTCCCTCTCTCCACCTTCCCGAAGAGAATGCGGCCATCACGATCCACGCGCGAACTCGCTAGGTGATGTATGTCCTCCTGGGCCTTCGGGAATCACACAAGGCGTGTTCTGTTGCACATTGAACGCATGTTTACATGTATGTAGAGACCATGTTTACATTTTTCCTCGTTGAGGTTTTGTTTTGTTCGGGAAGGTGGAGATTAATAGACTCGGATTTAGTTCTGGCTGGATGCCAACTTTACAGTCCACCGGAGAGTCACCAATGAACGAAAGACGATATATACTATTGTAATAGATTGGGCGGGGTAATGGGCCGCAGTCGACTCAATACCTTGCAGTAGTCTATTTTTTCTGCGATGCTTTTTGCGGTGGTTGCAGTCAATCATTTTGAATTTTGAATTTGAGTCATACACAAAAAATTCTAAGGAAAACGAGGCTCTTGCAACGAACGGCCGTAGGTGACACACGATACCACACACCCTGGACCAATTTTCATGGCTCGGTTGCTCCACACCACAAAGAGTGGCGGTGCCGATAATGGTGGTGTGAGAACACTCTCGTCGAGAACTTTCCGACAACGTCTTGCGGGGTTTACAGTTTTACAATCGATACAGGGGGTGCGGTATCTCATGTCACCTACGGACGGTAATTGTGTGCATACGTTTACAAACGTTCCCCTACGGGTTCGGGTTTTCGGTGGTTTCTCTGCACAGAGTGTCGCAGCAGCAATTGTAAAGCTTCCGCGCGAGCTGTGTGTATGCAACGTCTTGTGTGGCGGCTGATAGAGGCCACAGGGACATAGGGCCCACGGAAGCTGATGTGGCGAGAGTCGGTAGTGCATGCATTCGAGAAAACACACCATGCCGCCAACAAAAAAGCTCGCCTTGTGCATTTTTTCCCGTGGCACAGGTTTTGTTTCCAGGTGACCCCTCCCCCCACACCGAAGCAACAGCAATAATAAAGATATCCGCCACGAGCTGTGTCCATGCTCCGTCTCACACCGAAGAAACAGCAATGACAATGACACATGGTACACGGTCTTCGGACTTCGGGCGTCATAGGCGCCCTCCTCCTCAGGAATGTGCTGCAAGGGTGGTGGGTGAAGCATGTGCACGGCATACCAAGGGCACGAAGCTGGAAAAGAGGTTCCGACCAAATGTTGCAACATGTCGCAAAATTCGAACGTCTTGTACTTTCATTCAAACATTTGCGGGAATGCCGACGTTGAACCAACTTTCTTCAGCACTCCTAGTACCCAGTTACAGGTTATGAGTCCAGAATATATCGCGTCCGCTCATTGGGAGAGGCTGTACAGTCCCGAGGGCCGAAGGCTGACTTGGCTTCAGTATGGAAAGTGTCCCCCAAAGCACTGGAGACACTTTCCATACTGAAACTAAGTCAGCATGTTTTTCCAGTACACTTTTACCAACAAGGGGACCCGCGAGTTGGGAGATTTTGTACAGCAAGTCAGAGGCCCAGGAGAGGCACACAGGCGTCACACCGCAGTATATCACACAGCTAGACCCAGGTTTCCCACGCACGTTTCACGCAGCGGAGCATAGTGACAACCACGGTGCGGTAAACAGGCAAAGTGTGAGTGCTATGTCCCCAAAGTGTCCCTGTTGATCATCCAGTACACTATGGAGGGTTAAATGGTGTGGTAAGACTCAGAGGGCCAGTGAATGGTTGAATGTATGAAGTTGTGTACTACTACAGGGCAGCCTCAAGTTTTGTTCCGGTGGGTATGTCCGACGTGTATCCGGGGGAGGCAGAGCCGTAGCAAGGAAATACAGCGTGCAAAGAAAAGGCCCGTGCCTGACGGCTAGTCTTCTGCCACACGTCTGTAGCTACACAATTTTGATGTACATCATCTGTCTCAATCAACTATGCCGACCCAAAGACATGATCATAATCGAAGCAACAATTTGAACGCAAGCAATCATGGCATACCACAATTCCTACCATGCCTTGACCACAATCCTTAACCTCACCTGCCTTGCTATCGGTACTTGGAGGTAGCATGTTAGACAAAATTTTATCGGTTTTTAATCTACACACTCTTGTTTGTAATTATTGCCGTTAGCTTTGCTTACGGTTGAGAAGTCTACAGCAGCAAAGCAGAACATGCGCGAGGCGGGATGCGTACCATATGTGTGCCTACCCGTGTACCACGCATTAAGACCCATGCACACCCGGCGATAATAGCACGGTCCTGTAGCAGTATTAACGGGTGCTGTGCGAGCCATTTTGCACGCCCTGGTGTTGACGGGTCCACCAAGAAGACAAGCGATTAAACACGATCACGTAAATCAGTGTTATGTACGAAATTATATTTCTCGAACGGAAGATTTCCGATCTGGGGTCTCGCTGAAGGATCCTTCTCGTTTCTCTGCTGCACTTGCCTTCATTTTTGAGGCTAGAAGAAAGGGTGTAACAATACGAAAACCCTTCGCACTGCCGTATACTCGACCTCCCAACCTTGGCTCTAGAAAGTACATTTTCGATTTTTCATCTACTACAGACCGTCGGGGCAACTCCGCCCTCGCGTGTCGCACTTTCGTATCATAATTGGAAATGTGCTGTGATACTTCCTTGTGCTTTTTGTTGTTTTCAGAGCTGTAAGATCGATACACTGGCCAACCTTTTCGTATTTATTTTACCCAGAACTTGCAGGATGGAGCGAGAACGGGAACGCACAGCAGAAGACACACAACTTGTTCTTCAACTCACCAATCCCGATCAACGAGAGGGTGCCTTGCTGGAGCTGAGCAAGAAACGCGAGGCCTTCACGGATCTCGCTCCCATTTTATGGCATTCGTATGGGACAATTTCCGCTCTCCTGCAGGAAATGGTGGCCATCTACCCGCTTCTTTCACCCCCCACGTTAACTCCTCACGCAAGCAATCGGGTATGCAACGCCCTCGCCTTGCTGCAGTGCGTGGCGTCCCATCCCGAGACGAGGGCGTTGTTCTTGAAAGCCCATATTCCCCTTTATCTCTACCCTTTCCTCAACACTGTGAGCAAGAACCGCCCGTTCGAGTACCTTCGGCTGACAAGCTTGGGAGTTATTGGAGCGCTGGTGAAGATGGATGATGCGGAAGTCATCAATTTTCTGCTGCAGACCGAGATAATTCCGTTATGCTTACGGATAATGGAGACGGGGAGCGAGCTATCCAAGACTGTGGCTACGTTCATCGTCCAAAAAATTCTGCTGGATGAGCACGGGCTCGAGTACATTTGCCAAACGGCCGAGCGGTTCTACGCTGTCAGCACGGTGCTCGGTAACATGGTGGCCGTTCTCGTGGAAAGCCCGTCTGTGCGTTTGCTCAAGCATGTCGTGCGCTGCTATCTGCGGCTGTCGGACAACTTACGAGCGCGCGAAGCGCTCCGGCAATGCCTCCCAGACGCCTTGCGGAATAACACCTTTACCAATGTGCTCAAGGACGATGTTTCAGTCAAACGTTGGCTGACATCGTTACTCTTCAACTTGACGGAGCAGACTTGATTGGAGGTGAGCTGTTTGCCCGTGTTTGTTTGGATGATAGTTTCGTACTCGGCATTCTGCCTAGAGGATTTCCAAGCGTTTCGCGCCAGAGTGAAATAATAGGGGTATCTAGAGCAACCCGTGATGACTCACCGTTGTTCGAATCATGCATGTATAAAATATAACCGACCACCCGGTGTGCAGGTGTTTCATCTTGAACAGAAATAACGTTAGCTTTCGTGCTTAATATTATCGTGTCACCCTCCATACGCTGCGACTTACATTCTTCTTGACAGATCCAAGGAATGGAGTCCTCGCCGTGCAGACGCTGGCAAGCGGCCGTTAAGATGGAAACCATAAAATCTGGCGACAATGTCTCTTCCAAGTAGGATTCGGAGTGACTGGCGTCATCAGAACCGGAAGTGCGCACTCTGTAGGTTAAATGGCCGGATTGTTGGTTCATCAGATTGTTTAGATGTATGCTGGTCGTGTGTAGCGCCGGCAGCGACCTGTAGGCAATACCCGAAAGTTGTCACGGCACCGGCTTCAGACGCAGGGAGTTCTTCGCTGTAGCCGGCAAAGATGATGGCACTAGTCAGCGCAGTCCCACTGCAGCTATAGTCCAAGCATTACGGAAGTCAAGCTTTGCGGGAACAACCGCGAAAGACTTTGCACAACCATGCGGGGTGTCTTGCGAGTCTCTCATCGTAAGAGAGTGGGCGGGTGGTGACAACAAACGCCGCATGCTGGGATGCGAGTGCCGATATTCAATACATACTTCAACTCAGCGCACGATTCCAAGAAAACGTTGTCTAGAACCGTAGGTGCAAGGGATTCAAAAGGCTTTCTCTAGACACTTTGCGCGAAACAACCGAATTCTGAAGCCTTCCCTGTAAAGACTTTGTTTAGTCTATTGGGGAAATAAGAAAAAACTACAAAATCTGTACACGTACAAGATTTGGTCACTTTTCTCGGCATTTTTTTCTCTCTTCGCAGCAAGTGTATTCTCGCGATTCCTTCTCAGGGGCACACACGCAGGAGGCTCGTCGGTACATCATAACCCTCGTGCTCGGAGCTCGGCAGGCCACCGTGGCACATGTGGTTGACGCTAAAGTCGCGAAAACTGGCTCTATACCCAGGGGGCACGTTCCGCGACGACAAAGCCTGCCGAACCAATTCTGAAACCTATCTGTTTCATACCACCTCCTGGGAGATGCTTCCCTCGTAAGTTTTTGAGGACGCGGTCACATGATTTTTAGAATCATTTAATGGTTGATCATCGGCCTATTCAAACACCATCACAGCAGCCTTGTACACTGCGGGTCTCTGCATGTTCACCACCCACAGAATATGAGACAATTGTATGCTGGAGCTGCGCGACTTTGCTTTGACCTCTCACCGCCGGTTTGAAATTGTACATACATGGAACATGCACCTTCACACACGTACTTCGAACACAGCATATTGCAGCTGGAATATTGTATAGTTGATGAGAACGCGTTCCATGTCAGTCACTGAATTTTTCTTTTTTTCTTCACTGCTGTGTCCGATTTTCTCCGAATTGATGAGGGCCATCACCGCACGCTTCTCACATATAATAAACACACAGACAGCAGTACATATACTTCGCGACGTACATCTGCATCAGTATTCCTTCTTCTCGGGGCTGGCTATTTTACGTGGCAGCCACTCTGATTTGACCTTTCACCTCTCGTTTGCGATTGGATCACAACTTCAACAGATATCTTTCCTAATAAATACTATTGGCGGTTGATTGAGTGATAGCGTATACAAAGAGAACCCGCCACGGATTATTTTCTGAAGCCCGATAGGGATTCAGTTTCTGTCGCCGATATTCTCAGAACCTATATTCGAAAACGACCCCACTTTTTTGTGACCCCACCAAAAAGTGACCCCACTTTCTGCATTCCACTTGGTTTTAGAGGAGGCGATCTCCGGTCTCTTCTCTAAAAGCAAGTTGTTTTTCTTCGGTCCATGTTTCTCGAGATTGCAATAACAGATTTTCGTATGGGTTGGAAGAGGTGTCTCTCCTGGCCCGTTCGCCCCCTCCTGCGAGTTTCGTTCTAACGCTTGTGACAGCTTGTGAGAACGCGGCCGTTGTTGTATGTCTCATTCGTAGACCTCCCCGGTGCTCGAACAACCGAACCACCCCTCCCTCATCATTACCCCCAGTTTTACCCTACCCCCACAGGTCGCAAGTACAACCGCACCCACGACCGGGAAGGATGCACGTCCACGGTTGGTACAGAATCATGCACGAAAGTCGAAGACTTCGGACACAGCCCTGTTAACAGTGAGTGAAACATGCCTCAAACTTGCACCGATCACCACTGAGCAAGGCAAGGCAAAAGGCAGTGCTCGAAGGCAGAGCACATTCACCAGCACTGAAGTATGTAACCTCATTATGAGGACGTTGTTGTATGTACAAAACTTATTTTTCTCCAGACTGAATGTGGACCACAGCAATATACAAAGTAGTCTGTAGACCACTCCCCGCAGTCAGTAGTCAGCATATTTTATTGTCTCTTCCAGACTGATTGTGCTTGTTGTGGACGACAGTCAGCATCAGTAGGCAGCATATATATTCTATTTGTCTCTTTAAGACTGATTGCATAACCCCATAGGCACATCCCATGTTCTCCCCTTGCACCTAGCATACAGGTCACACACCTCGCAAGAGATCAACTTCACGACGTGCACCATCCACATCGCAGGACTACGTACTTTGTTGTGGACAAATATATTTTTGGTCTCCCAGACTGACTGAGGACCACACACAGCAGTAGTCGACACACAGTGGCATCGAACCTCTTGTCAGGGTCTTACCTGCACTTTTGTTGACAGAATCTACTGTACTACTGTGGTACTACGTATGCATACATGTATTTGTACGGCATACATACGCAGCCAATTGCCAACTATGGCACTTCTTCCATAGATACGTGCTGTAGATACAGCGCAATTCGACTGCCAACTGCCAACTTTTGAATTCTATAGATACGTAATTTGACTGCCAACCATGGTGGTGGGTGTACAGGTCATACGCCTGCACTTCCCGTCTGCTTGTCGCACACACACACCCAAGCTGCAGAGATCATGTACGCCCGGCTCGTCGCCTTCGCGGCTATCCTTCTCCTGTTCGCGTCGACTCTGGCTATCTATATAGAGGAAACCTCCTCCTCACAAAGCACTGCCGGCACAAAAAAATGATGCGTCCACCCACCCCAGCAACGACCCACTTCTTTGCGTCCGGAACGGACTCCGGCGGCAATCCTCTCCCTGATGAATCCGTGTTACCCCTCGGAGGCGGTACGCGTCAGGCCGGGCTAGCAGCTGCGCGGGCAAGTCGTTCCGCAATGAGTGCGAAAGAAACTACCTCTGCGCGCGCCAACGCCCTCAAATTACGTCAGCAGAGAGCCAACAAGAGAGCCAAGCACTCCAACGAAGAATCCCACCGTGCCGACGATGTCGTGCACGACACCAACGCCACGACTGTTCAACGCGTCGTTCACTCGTCGGATTGCATTGCATGCCACTTTCCCCCTGCGTGTCTATGAGTGGTCTGCGTACTGGTTATGGAGGTGTTTCATTTGTGCACTTCTTTTTAGCGGCGTTTCCGCATTTTATCGAGTGGCGTTCTATGATTGCCCGACCTCGACATAAATTCGCGCCTTCATTCTCCTCGTCGTCCTTCACTAGTACCTGGTACATTTGAACGAAGCTTCCTTTTCATATCTGGTCCGACTGCCTTTGTTTACCGCTTATATTCCGACTTCATTTTCCCGCGTGTGTTTGACTCGGCGGACCTTAGTCCACTTTTGCCCTTGCGCGTGTATGACTCATCTTGGCGCCTGGCCTTGCCTGGTTTCTGGTTTCTTTTGCTGTTTGCCGTTTGGTTGCGGTATTCGTCGCGCTGCAGACATGTGCCTGGACCATCACAAAGAATTTCCACCACCTCTATCTTCGCACTCTAAGGGCTGGTCTTAACGCTGGAATCATATCTCGAAATCACATTCAGATTTGGTCATAAGACCGGAATATCCAAAGAACTCTGTTTTTGATTGGGCAAAAAGTTCTTCCGCCGGTCTCCTCTTTAGGACTTGAAACAGGACGACCCAAAACCAAATCGGGATTTGATTACAGGGAATGTCCGATATAAAACGACGTCAAAAGCCAATATCTGCACCAAACCAACAAAACAAATCTGCCGTGCCATACAAAAATCCTTCCGCACTGGCTCTCACGCTGGCTCTTCCCATCATACTCTTAGTCTACTATTTACTGCTGTACCCGTACTGCCGTGTCAGAGCAAGAAGAACTTAATGCTCAATTGACTCCACAACTAACTTATGAACAACGAAACATCTTCGACACCGTCACGTGCCATGGAAAACAAAGGTGGTGTATAGATGATAGATACTCCTGCCGGGACAGGAAAATACGTTCACAGAATGCGATTGCAGCCTACCTGCGCGCCCGTGCAAAACTAGTCCTGTGCGCTGCATCAACAGGAATAGCTGCCCTTATCCTACCTGGCAGTCTACGGCCCACAGTACCTTCAAAGTCCCTTTTGGAGACGATGCCATAGAAGGCAGCGTTTGCAACGTCCCAGCTGAGTCCGAACGTGCCGACGTCCTCAAAAAAAGATCAAGTATTTGGGATGAAATTGTTATGTCTTCAAAGTTTGCCCCAAAAGCACTCAACGCCACTCTCCAGGATCTACCTATGTCAAAGTGACTTGCCCATCGGAGGGAAAACTATTCTTTTCAGGGGAGATTGGCGTCAAGTGGCTCCCGTTCTACGGTTCTGAAATTGAGAGTGAAATCGTAGAATGTGTTTTCCTGTCGTCTGGCATGTTCATCGCTTCCGCCTTACCAAGTGCATGAGAGACAAAGATGACATCCCTTACGCTAGAACTGTGTCTTAGCTGTTGGAGAGGGCAAAATTGAACCAGTTCTTTTAGCCGATGGTACCGCCCCTATTCCTTTGCTACACACAGTCGAAACTACATGTTCAATCGCCGGAACAACGGAATTTGAAGACTTCACTGAAAAAGTCTACTCCGACCTCTTAGAAGCTAACCACAACATCTACAACGACCGTGGAATTATGGTGCCCACAAATGAAAACATTAACCAGACACTTTTTATGACTCCATCTGATCATCTTTGCTGGAAACAATTCAGAGAACATTCAAATAACTGGTCAACCTGAACAGCCCTACCACACAAAGTGTCCCGGAATATACCTCCATCTCATGCCTGTTCCAACTGCCTCTCTATGCAACCCATGTCGAGATTGCAGCTGCCCTACAACCGTTGTACAACCTTAACATAAAGAATTCAATCTCCGTTCCATGATATATGCGATGATTTGTACGGGGGAGAGCACTACCCAACATTAAGATATAAGTCGATGACTTCTCACCTTCGTTTACTACTCTTGCTTCACCCTACGGGGGCCTGGCACCAACGTCCCGAAGAGGAACCTTGTATACCACGTACACTAATCTACAGATTTCCCTAGGTTTCCGTGCCGGTCCGACGCTCCTCGCTTTTTTTTCATTTCTTACCATAGCACTGAAATCCATCTCTATCCTGAAAAGGGTCTGTAGGATACATCGGTAATTACATGGCGTTAGCGGGGTGCTGCCTTTGTTTCTATGAATGCCCAGGGAGATCCTCGTTTTTCCGAGCTCCCAGCGATGTTCCTCCTCTATTTCTAGTATAGCAAAAGGTTCCCACGCCATAGGCTCCTGGAGGCGAGAGATAAATGTCAATAATGGATTGTCCTAAGGAAATTCCGGTTCTTGCGTGTAGTAGATCTACGGAG